GGTTCTGACCGACTTCCCATTCGGATTGTCGGCAAATATAAGACGCCTCGAGCCTGGAAAAACGTTAGTATTTAGACAATAGGTGGCAAATAGAGGTGGGATTTCAAAGCATGGATGAACACAGCAATTATGGGCAAATGGCTTGAAAAATTCTATCGCCACATTGGAAATGCCCGTGGTGTACTCTTGACAATGGATAATTATTCTGCTCATTATTCTGCCGTTGAATTATACCCTCCTCCGTCAAATATCAAGATCTGTTGGCTTCTAGCTAATAGTACAAGCCAGTATCAGCCTCTTGATCAAGGTATTATTCAGAACTGCAAAGCATTTTATAGACGATACTGGCTCCGCTTTGTTCTACAAGCAATCAAAGATGGTATAGATCCACAATCAAGTGTCAATATTCGACTAGCAATTCGCTGGATCTTACGAAGTTGGAATAAAGAAGTTACCGATATAATGATTCATAATTGCTTTCGGAAATCGACGCTTATCTCCAAGTCAATTACTCTTCCTACGTCTGTACTTCCGACTGGACTTTCTGAATTGTTTAATAAGGTAGTTGCCGAATGACCTAATGACTTAATGACCTTTCATGTATTATCTTAGAAATGATGACTAATTATGTTGATGAGTAATGAGTTACCTGTTTAGGAATGGCGTCAGGAGAGAGGGACAACTGCTGTATATACGTGTTTCCTTTAGTTAGAAGTCAAGAAATAGATGAAATATGTTAACCACCTATTGTTATTACTGCTACAGAAAGCTTGTGATATAAATACCACCCGAGTATTCCGACATTAGTCAGAGCAGGAGATATACGAGATTCAATGGCAATAGACAATTTTCTTAATCCAATTGAGGAGGAATAGGAAGGGAATTTGATGCTTGACGAGGCAACGATCTTACAAGAGGTGATAGGGGAACATTTGGAAACAAATCAAGACGAAGAAGAAGAGGTATTACAAGACGAACAGCCTTTGCGGACAGCAAAAGAGGCCGAAATGGCTCTGAAAGTGTAGATTGAGTATACTGAGAGTCAAGATTCTCCTAATTCGAGCTATTTGAGAGTGTTAGAGCGATAAGAGACGGCAATTTGGAGTATAAACGAGACATCAAAAGTACAAAGTAGCCTAGATAGTTGGATTAGATAATCATATCCTTCTCAGCAATATCCTCTATATGACGATATCTTTCACGGCCCCGATTACATCGTCTTAACAGGGGTATGAATGTGCCGACTTCTGTCAGAGACGGAACTTCCTCCATCGTTCCGACCTCCGGTATCCCTCAGCCGAATACTTGTTTCAAGGAATAATAACAGGTACTAGAATGATGGTTTACTATTAGCATACAAATCTGGTAGGCCTGAGTAGGGAAAGGTAACGTAACAGTGAACCACGAGCATGTACATTGTTTGGATTAGGTTGTAGTTGGCAATTCCTAACCTAATTGTGTTAGATTGCAGGCTTCTATCTTAGGTATTCATGGGTTCGTAATTAAGGTTATTGTTAAGGTTTAGCTTCGGTTATCTCACTGATTACCGAGCCGGCAGCATATCAAGGAGGCATGTAGCTCAGGTGGAAGTATCGCACGGTAAACTATATCTGAAGCTGCTAAGTATTGTAGTAGCTAAAGGAATACTGCTATTCGGAAACTACAGCTCCAACCTAGAACCATGAGATAAATCAGGCTATGCACGCTAGATATAGGATGGCTAGCGGATATGGTGAACATGGGGGTAAATACGTAGATATGTAAAGACATTGCAGCCTCTAAATTGTAGGACAAGTCTTCAACCAAATTATATCGGAATCAATCCTAGCCTCTCATTATGCAATCTCATGAATCTATTTCCGTGTCTATGATAACAGACCAATAAACAAAGTCGAAGATCAAGTTAAAAGTCGATTATACATAATTAAGCGTAGCCTCCAGCCGAGTTGCCTTCTTCACGCAACGTCTTTTCAATATTATTCTCATTCTAGATATTTCATCTCTTCCTTGTGAAGACCACTACGAGCCCGTACTTGTATCAGATCACGACGTGCCCTCTATCTCTTCTTGTGGAAGACCTTGACTCTCAATTAACTCACACTTGTACCCTGTGGAAAAATAGCATACACACTCCTCAAGAACGTGCTGGACAAGCAAGAAAGAAGCGGCTAGGTTTATTAAAGAGTGGCTACCGACACTCCCACCCGACTGTCTCTGCGTTTACAGTGATGGCTATGGGGCGTCCACCGACAGAGTTCTATGGGCCATTGTGATCTTTATCAGTTGCACAGGCACGGTAATTGAGCAAAGCGGCTCAGGCAAGATTACAAATGCGGAGGTCTACGACGCGGAGGTTCATGGAGCTCTGGCTAGTCTTGAAGCGATCACTATTAACAAGTGAGATCGAGGTCGCAGTGCCATCTATTTCCTGCTCGAAAATTCCGCGGTTGTCCAGGCTTTACTGATGGGAACAACAGTCTCATCATCCTGGCGGATCCAAAAGATCTTTAAAATGGCCACAAGATCAGCCGCACCTATAAAAATAGGATGGATCCCAGGCCACGAATACTCAAGCTCAAGTAGGGGTGCGACGGCAGTCAACTTACCTAGCACACTAATAAACAAACAATCAAACACGCGAGTGCAGCTGACACTATAAACACAAGCCAATGATGGAAGGCGTTGTGGTCCGCCTCCTGGTGGTGTTCTGTGGTATTGCTAGAGTATCCTGGGCACCTACTCCACTTGGAAAGGGGACACCTCAGATCATATTTCGCGCGGAGAAAAATCAATGGATGATGGTGGCATGTCTGGATAACACAGGATTTTTGAGACTTTCCCCTGGGTGGGTATTCACAGATGAGGGTTGATTTGTGGTGAAAAGAAAAGCCACCGTAACTTCGAAGTGGTACTTGCAAACGAAATCAGAGGCATGATTCTCTATTTTGAAATTGAGTCATTTATTCTGTACTATGCCTCTGAAATGGTGTCATAGCTAGATAACTGCGTAAAGAATGAAAATACGGTGCAATAAAAGTATCGGAGATTCCTATAGTCACTTGCATGCTCCTAAAGTATGCTGTCGGAATGTTTCATTTAGATGGAGTTATTTGGAGTCGATGGTTTTTTTTTTGCATCAGATTTTAGTTGCGTATGCAGCTATCTAGCTATGACACAATATCAGAGAAAAGTACAGAAAAGATGACTCAATTTACAATAGGAGCACTCATGCCTCGGATTTCATTTGCAAGTACCACTACAAACTTATGGTGGCTTTTTCTTCACCCCAAGTCAACCCTCATCTGTGAATACCCACCCAGGGGAAAGTCTCAAAAATCCTGTGTTATCCAGACATGCCACCATCATCCATTGATTTTTCTCCGCGCGAAATATGATCTGAGGTGTCCCCTTTCCAAGTGGAGTAGGTGCCCAGGATACTCTAGCAATACCACAGAACACCACCAGGAGGCGGACCACAACGCCTTCCATCATTGGCTTGTGTTTATAGTGTCAGCTGCACTCTCGGAAGCGAATTCTTGGCGCGCACAAAGCTCAATTCGTAAAACTCTTGCCAAAATTCTGAATCTCACGCCCTTCGAGGTAATATCTTTCCTTTACATCATCTTGTAAACTTGTCCTGATCCCTCTCATGTCAATCCCAAGGAACTGTCTCCCAGATTTGTGCGCCACGCTCTGCTTCCTCCGTCGGGTATAAATATCGGCGTGGGCGTGTATTTAGTGGTCAACTGAGACCAGAGAAGGTCGAGGAGTGGTGTGATCATTGGAATGAGGATGTACTAGGTCGTATTTGCAGACTTGATGAGACTTAGGTAGGCGTTAAACTCGTTGGGAGCGAAACAACGACGTGGATGAGTAATCTGGATTTTTGCCTCGTGGGCCAACTTCTTTGATATTGCGAAATTTGACTGAACTTGACTCTGGGAGAATATTTCACTCCCAGGTTCGTAGAGGACATTGCGTACAAGTGATCAGTCTTGCTCTCCGGAGTCGATGGTTGTTGCATTCCATGGGCTAGTTCTCTTGATTTGTGGATTCTGACATTCGGATAAAGCATTATCCGAATGTAGGCTAGATTGCAATTCCATAGCATCAACCCAGAAGAATACGGATGGACCATGACTGCGCATTTCTTCTGAACGATAGATCGAAATACTTACACAAGTACTTTCATAACTTTAAGTGAACTAATAGACTTTTATTGTATGACCTTTGTCATACCAACATGTGCCATATCGCGCTTAATGAGATTGTTTCCAAGAGTAAATGAAAGCTTTAATTTACTGATTAAAATGGTAACCCGATAGACCTTTCAGAAGGATGTGGGTTTCAGTCGATCGTAATTGAAATATTATGTTGAAAATTAAACTCGCGGCTCTACTAGAGCTAATTCCGCAGATGCAATAGAGTAGATTAGATTAGATTTTATTATAGTCATATCTGAGTCTACGACTATTGAGGACTTTTAGCTTCTAAATGAAAGAGACTAACAAATTTCCATAAATTCAACCATTTTAATTCCCAACATTTTCTTATAGATAGTGAGGAATCCGCAGATGCAACAGTTAAGCTTGAGTTTTATTTAATTTATCTATCCCCATCACTGACTCCCAACTCCAAAATCTACAATTTGTGTGTGGCTTACTTATCATAAGCTAACAGCATTCAATTGTCTACGTTACGTTTTGTAGCCTGCTACGTTCAGGATCCACAAGTATTTCATGGTGCATCTTATGATCAAAGAGTTTCATTTGTCATCTATTCTCCCACTTCAACATTGACATGTGTGATGAGAAATCTGTATACCTATTCGGACTAAATTCTATTTTTTTATGAAATTGTGACTAGCTACTCTTCTGCTCACAAGTATACATACACATAGTGACACACATCTGCTCCATTCCACCTAAAGTTAAGTATTAAAGAAGTACTCGAGAAAAGATATAAGTGGTGTTAAGCCAATATAAGCTACAATATATCCCTTAACTAGTAAAAAATACAACAAGAAACCCTAAATAACTACCTATAACGCCAATTGCGGAGTAGGTGCTTATAAACATTAATGGAAGGAATTCGAACTTCTTGCCTAATATTAAGCCGTGCAAGAAACTACAATAGACCACAAGTGGTATACTAACAGCAATGTATAAGAGGCTAAAGCGATCAAAGAGAAAGACCCTAGATTTTTTGCTTGCTAGTGCTAATTTGTCATATGCGACAAGGAATACAAGAAGCCACAACAGTGTGTAGATTGTCTTTATGGGAAACTCTGCTGCAGTAAAGAGCAAGGGAAATAGAGAAACATGTCCAGCAACCGCTAATGGTCGAAAGGCGCCCAGATAGCGGCGATCTTTCAAGGCTATCAGGGTAAACGGAAGAATGACAAGCAAAATAGCTTTTTCGTGAACATGCCAACCAAAGATAAATGAAGCATACCCACTTAGGGTAACGGCACCGACAAAGGTATCCCAATTAGGATCAAGAAAAAGCTTGATGAGGGGCATAGTTTGGAAAGTTGCAGTCAGGATGAATGTTGTACGCGCTGTAACCTGTGGAAGGACAGCAAAAGAGACGTCTCCGACTAGGCCTCGCGTTACACGTTGAATTGCATCTTGATTGATCGAGATGCCAAAATATTGAGCCACTGTATTCGCGTTAGCTTGAAGAGCGAATCATTATTTATCAGCGTACGGTGTATCAGTATACGATCTGTGAATCCATAAATAGCCCAAAAGTTTGGTGCCCAATAAGCATGACAAAGTCCCCTGGAAAAAGGAAACAATCGACTTATTACTTGTGCAGTTTGTCCCCAGTAAATAAATGGCCCAAATGCTGCTAGAAATATTGTTGATATACTAATTCCGAGCTTGAAACAGTTTTTAACCCTAAATCGAAATATATTTTTTGTTTCAAGGCAGTACCCACGTAATAGATATATAAAGTAGGCGGGTGCAAGGTAAAGAAAAATGTGTTTGAAGCATAGAAGAGCTGCAAATAGAGCCCCGCTAGCCAAGGTTGTTGATTCATTCCTTGCTAATACCAAAGATAGTATCAGGAGTCCGTACAGGAAACCATTATACTGAAAGTGTATATGATCGATTATCAGGAGTCCAGGTGATAGTAGGATTGAGAGTGCCGCAGCATGAGACGCTCGCCGAGATGTGATCGGAGCAGATTTGACAAACCTTTGTTATCAGAATGGTAGTATTGCACTAGAAACGCTATTAGTTACTCACATGTAAAGCGCATAGACTAGAACTAGCTCTGTTAAGATAACTGTCACTCGCTGAAAGTAAACTGTCTTCCAATTATTGTATCCTAAATTTAGTATTTTGGTCATCTCTGGATCTATTATTTTGGCAAATAGCGATAGCAGCCACTCGAAATAGGCAAAAAATGGCGGATAATCCAGTGTCCATTCTGACGTGTTCTCATAGTACCACTTGTCGGTTGGAAGAGAATTGGTTATAGCAAGCCAGTTCCTGTGCACTTCAAAGTCGGTTGATTGGCTGTGGTACTCAGAGTCTTCCGGTCTTATTCAAGAATCATCTACTTACTACGCAGGTAATAGTAATATCTTAAACGCAGTTGACACAGTAGCGCACTGAGAAATCGAGGGATACAAATCTGACATTGTACAGACGAGGGTCAATTATGGATCGGAGCATACTGGTTTCTCATGTGCCTCCGCAAAATTTACATGACTATTATGCCACCGCCTTTCCGGGATGCGAAACCGAACAAAGACGTACTTGTCAACTTGCGACAGGCGTGCCTATCTCCCCAACATGGTACGCGATGGATCAAGCCTTCATACCTCCTCAGATTGTGATTCAGCATAGCATTCATCACAAATTTACCCTTGAACTAGGTCCGTCTTTTCTGAGGCTTGGAAAACCTGTTCGGAACACATTACTCGCTATAGTGGTGGTCTATTTCTTAGGCGACATTGTTCGCAACAGCCTGCAGACCATCCTAAAAAGATTCTCAGGACGGGCAGAAAATTGATTGTTGTTATTATATACTTTTCAGTTAACTCTGAAAACTATCCAGGAAACCTCCAAAATCAATTAGATCTAGCCTGATGCCCATCATGTCACTTAACACAAGGTTCGTCTGTTTAGGGTTGAGCATACTCATAGCTCAGGCTGGGGCTGAAAGTCTTGTAAGTGATCTTAGCTTTGGACAAACTAGGTAATTCTCAGAATATTTAAATTTGAATCTCTACTAACAGGCAGATAGGCTACCAGTAAATAGCCAGGAAATTCCAAACTTTCAACTCACCGGAACACCTAGTTCTCCAGAAATTCTCTCAAATAAAATAGTACTCACACCTCCCACTCCTGGGAATGTACGTGGAGCGATATGGTCTCAAAAGACCATGTCTAAAAATTATTGGAAACTCGACGTTGAGCTTAGAGTAAGTGGGCCTGAGCGGAGTGGAGGGAATACACAAATCTGGTATGTCAAGAATGGTTACGAGAACGTTGGAACTGCTAGTCTGTACACTGTGGGAAAGTTTGATGGCTTAGTGTTGATAATAGATAAGTATGCGGGATCGGTATGTATCATTTCATCACTAGCAAAAAATCTCTACTAAGAATCTAACTCGGGCAGGCCGGCGTTGTTCGTGGATTTCTAAATGATGGAACTACTGAATTCAAATCTCACCACAATGTAGACAGTCTAGCATTTGGACACTGCGACTACCCTTACAGAAATCTCGGTCGAGCGTCTCGAATAACCATTGCTCAATCTAGCTCAGGCTTCCGGGTCGAGGTAGATGGGAATAATTGCTTCTCCTCTCCACATGTAACCCTTCCTGCGGGAAATAACTTTGGTGTCTCGGCAGCAAGCGCAGAAAACCCCGATTCAGTCGAAGTATTTAAACTATCTGTTTCGACTAATTCTGGACAAGATGAAAGTCCTAAGACCCAACAAGAAAACTTGGGGGCCGCAGGAAGCCAAGGAACTAAGGACTCGGGAGTCGAAGCTGAACAGGCTGGTAAAATTACATCGAGCCCTCAATCCAACATAGAACAATTTGCGGATGTTAATGCGAAGTTACAATTGATGATGATTCAAATGAACCGAATAAATCAAGCAATTGCCACCCAACAGACTGATAATTCAGTAAAGCAGGAAGAAATACTTTCTCGACTGCGTATTATAGAAAAAACAGTTGGTGGCTTAAATGTAATCAACGAACATCTTGTCGAAGTCAAACGAGATCTTGAAGATGTCAAACATGAAATCCATGAAGCATTAGACGACTATATTCACTCGTTGAAATCACATACCGCGGAAAACCACGAAGAGCTAATGGCCACTCATCAGAATCTCCACAGCCGTGTTAACGGGCTCGGAAGTTTTACAAAGTTCGTTTTTGTGATCGTTGGTAGTCAAGTCATACTAGTTCTAGCGTTTATCATGTACAAGAAACACAAGACAAGGATACCAAAAAAATTCATATAAGGCGATCAGTCTGAACTTATGTACGAAGAAAGAAAAAAACAGATGAATATGATAACTGATGTCATAAATGAGGATTATTTGGTTGGGGGTATGGGATTTAGTGATTTGTACTTTATACCGTTTCTTGTGCTCGATACTAGCTAGATTCACGTCTAAGATGTTACATCTAGTCTTTTTCCTCATGGACTGCTAGTATAATATGACGTTATTGACTTATCAAGTTCAGAAATACACAAGACTCGTCAGTACCTTGCCTGCTTCTACAAGTAGAAAACAATGAGTAAATCTTCCTGCGATTGGAAACATTTTTCTAAAAAATGAGATGAAATAAATATCAGGATCTCCCCTTTTGCTGCATTCCAGTCTAATTCAACTTAGCAAAATTCACGGGAAGAAAATTGGATAGATGCGAATCTGCGTGTGTCAGCGATGAATCAGGCCTAAGTATAAGTTCCCGCCGTTCTTTTATCAAATAACATGATCCCCGACGACTCCTAACAGTGTCGATCTTAACTATTAGATTGGTAACTAGTTGGATTTCGGTCTAACTAGCTTCGAGTAACTTTTTCTACAGCTAAAAAGTCAAGGGCAAATTCTTATTGAGGCATTTATTTGATTCAATGTAATTACTTCATTGTTGAAAAGTCCTTGCCAAGCACTAAGTGTGGTGAATCTTCTGATGCTGAGTCATCCCCGTGACGTCCCAGCCAACACAGCAGACTCACCATGGCTGAAACAGAACGATACAAGACAGTATAAGCATTTCTTTTATAATGCGGAGTTCCCGCGGAAGTTTTCTTTTATTTTAATTTTAGGCTACTAGACTCGTCATGATTTAGGTCTTTTTTTTATATCATTTAATGTGTATGCAGCTATAAGGCTGTGACACATGAACAGTGCTACGTATACGTATTGGATGACCCTTTTGACGTTAGAGACACTCATACTCTGTATATCACTCTCAAATACCACCATGAGGTATGCTTGCTTGCACAAACAGTCGACCCTCCTCCGTAAGTACCCACCAAAGGGAAACTTAATCCCTTTGATTACCCAAGCATGCCTTTGTCATCCATTTATACCAGTGCCGCGAGAAATGAGGTTGTGTTTTGCCGGATTTAAACCAGCGATCTACTGTCTCGAGTGGGATATGTGTCCAAGCTATCCAGACTCTACTTGGCAGACCGGCCAAGACGATCTACCACCGCATCGTCCTACCATGACGATGATTATAGTGTCGCCTGCGCTCTCGCAACCGAAGCCGTGGCACGCACAAAACTCAACATGTAAAAACTCCCAGGCAAATTTAACGCTCGTCGAGCCGGCAAAGACGAATTCTTCACCTTCCAGTGGTGCCGGTGTAATCGCTCAGTATGCTCTGCATATCTGGGATAGCCAAGAAGAATCGCAACCGAATCGAAGTCGAAAGCAAACGCATGCATATCTCCATTTGACAACTTCTCAATCATGCAGCACTCACCATTATCCTCTGAGTCATTAACCTCTTTCCAACCACACATCATCTCGCCTCAACGACCGATAAAGGCGTCACCCCAATTGCAAACAGGAGCTTGCCTCGTTTATTACCGTCCATCACTCACTAAAAATTTACAACGCAACGTATACCCGCAAGGAGTAAATTAAGTCATAATATACAAAGTGGGGGTCCTGGTTTATGGGGGACTGTTGCACTAATGAGAAAAACATATTGAGGAAGGACAGGCGGCTGAGATGTAAAAAGTGAGGGGGAATATGTCTCTGAAGAGCATGCTGGGACCGACATCTCCGAGGGGTTTTCAACTTTGGATTTTTTGTGGGCGCCAAGACCAAGATTTCGGCTAATTAGCCAGGAGGATTTCAATCGTCGATGAGTCAACGGCACTCTCCAGTGCCATGGACGGCACAAAAGAGGGTTGGCTAAGCTACCGTACAGTAATCACGCTCTGTCAAGACTTTTCTGACATTTCGGCACGACCTTCGGGAAGGAGTTGGAAGGAGGCTAGAAAGGCAGAGCGTGAATTTCCCAAGGTACACGCAAGTCTGCAGCGCCCAGCTGGCCGGCCTCTTTGAACGCTTCGGAAGGGTTACTACGTCTTCGGATCTAGTCCTAATGTCGGTATTAGGAGAGCTCCGCACCTAGTGGTTTTTGCGATTTTTCCCTGCTGTCATACACCCGCAAACGGCCTTCGTTTTTTTGGCTGGAGAGGGGAGATAATAAAGGGCAAAGGGCTCCTCTTAGTGTATGATCGAATGAGGACTTGTGAGGGCTCGTACTTTTTGAGGGGAGCTGTATGGGAGGCATAGGAGGAGATATACCACTGGTATAGGTATCCTTGGCCTGTAGGCAGAGAGGACCTGCATGTCCTACATAGTCATAGACTCAGACAGGACAAAAAAAGAAAAGAACGCCCGTCGAGACTGTATGCATCCTCTGCATCATTTTGTGAACTTGTCCTGATTCCTCTCACCTCCCTCCCAAAGAAATGTTTCCCAGGTTCGTGCGCCATGCCAAAACACATCTATGTGTTGAATCATGACGAGTTCAGCAGCCCAGATTGAAATCAAACAAAAACTTTCACGCGAAATCCCGCATTACAAATGAAAAACTTGAACAAAATCCCTTCCATCGTTCCGCATCGACCACTACGCGCCCGAGCCTCGATTCCAATTCCCTCTTTACATGCCAAACCACCCAGTCATTCGATCTATCACCTCCGAGTCACAGGTATCCCTGCCATCCCCCGACTAGCCTCCGCGTATATTCCACTCTCCTGGACGTAGTCCCTGAACAGCTGCCATCCACTTGATGCGAGCATTGTGTCCAGAGCTGGTGCGCTTCGCATTCCGCTTTTCAGCCGCCATGTTGCCAGTGCTTTTCGACACTGGACAAGGTGACCAATTGATTTTTCCCTCCCGCACTCGCAGTAGAGTTTGGCGTCAGTGTGGTTGAAGCGGCGATGATATGCCGCAAAGTCCCCATGTCCAGTTCGAGCAGCGATTAAGCGGGCGTAGACCGCTCTCGGTAGCGCTAATTCTGGAGGTCTCTTACGGCGAATCTCGAGTTCGAGGTCAGCGTAATTTTTTGGGCTATTCGAGTGCTACCAGTCCGTCATCATCTGCCTGGCCAGTTCGCGAGCTTTCCGTCCATATGAGGCTAGAGTTATTACACCATGTGTCGTCCTAGAGTTGTCCAACGAGTTGAGCTCTCTTCGAGCGAAGTTATCGGCGATTTCATTTCCTGCCAGCCCGTCGTGGCCCAGGATCCATCCTATTTTTATAGGCGCGGCTAATCTCGCGGCTATTTTTAATAACTTTTGGATTCGCTAGGATGATGAGCCTGTTGTTCCCGTCAGTAAAGCCTGAACAGCCGCAGAATTATCGAGCAGGATGCAGATGGCGCCGCGTCCTCGATCTCGATTGCTGGTAGTGATTGCTTCTAGAGCAGCGAAAGCTCCATGAACCTCTGCGTCGTAGACATCCGCATTGGTGATTTTGCCTTAGCGGCTTTGTTCGATTGTTGTGCCTGTGCCACTGATAAACGTCACAAAGGCCCATGACACTCTGTCGGTGGACGCCCCAGAACCATCACTGTACACGCAGAGAAAGTCGGGTGGGAGTGTAAATAGCCACTCTCTTATAAACTTGGCAGCCTCTTTCTTGCTTGTCCAGCAGGGAATTAGCTGAGGGGGGACCGGAGGTCGGAGCGGTGGAGGTAGTTCAGCCTCTGGCAGAAGTCGATACATCCTCTGGACCCTTGAATTATGAACTCTATCCAGACCAAGTCTGTTTTTGTTGCATGTCTTTAGTCCGAGTTTGTGGAAAGCACTGGCGGTGTTTTCCGTGGCCCGGAGTCGAAGCGGATAGTAACCATCTAGTCTTCAGATGTGCGCGACAGTCTTGAGCCTGCCTTCCTCGAGAAGAATGTGTGCTGGTAGAATGCCAGTCTCTCTTCCCAGGGCTGTGATGGGCATGATGCGCCAGTTTTTGCCTTATCTGGATCGAAAGATACGGCGTTATCAGCAGCCCACCATAGGACTGCGTCGACTTCTCTCTGAATAGCCACAGCGGCTTTGTTCGGAGTCGAATATATGTCGAGAATGGTAACATCATCTACATAGCCAAATCTCCAACTGCTGCCCCCCACGACTTCGGCCTTATAGAGGAGGAAGAGAATTGGGGATAAAGGCGATCCTTGTGGCAGCCCGCATTCTAGGTGAATTGGGTCTGTTACTCCTTCCTCGTGTCTGACGCAGGCGGATCGTTCGTCCAGGAAAGACTTTATCCAAGTGATGGCTAGTTTCGGCCACCCAACTTTATTCGTCCTTTGCAGCAGCCTCCCATGGAGTACAGCGTCGAATGCCCCCTGTACGTCCAGAGTGACAAGGACTGCTTTCTTCTGCCTTTTCATTGCATGCTCCACATCATGGTTAACGCATGAGACAAGGTCATTAGCGGGTCTGCTGGAGAGTGCTCCAAAAAGCTGCTGCGGCACAGTCTTGTACGAAATGGCGGTATGTGCCATTCGCCTTGCAACTAGTCTCTCAAGACCTTTGCCGAGGGAGAAAAGTAATACGATGGGCTTCCATCCTTTAGCTGTACTGAGATTACGGCCAGGTTTGTGGAGAAGGATGACTTTGGCTATCTTGTATGCTTTTGGAAAGTGGTTGAGTCGGGGTGAGCCCTCAAAAAGTACTCTCACCGTGTGGCCAATTGACGGCCAAGCTGTCCTATGAAGCTGCATAGAAATGGCGTCTGCTCTAGGAGCGTTATTTTGGCAGGCTGTTGTGACCCACTTGGCTTCTTGATCAGTGACGCTTGAGATCCATGGAAGGTTTCCGAGTCCTGGCTCGAGGTGTTCGGTGTCCACGTCGCTTTAGCCGGTGAGCCGGCGGAGAGGGAGGTCGCGCATTAGAAGTGCACGCTTTCCTGGATCCGAGACAAAACCATCCGGAGTTTGGAGTGGCGGAACAGCGGATGTAGGTCGCGGCTTTACCCAACAC